GCAGTGGCGAAACTTGATGCTACTTTGGAAGGAGTACAAGCGGTGCGATACGGGGTCGGGAAATGGCTCCGTGGAGAAACCTTCGTGGTGGCCGTACATGGAGCTTTTCAACAAGGACACCGCTGCTGCCGAACCGCATGCGGTAGACGGCAGTGGCGCAACAAATGTCAACGTGCCGGCCGGCATGGAGGTTCCCACCTCCTCTCAGCCCGGCACTTCAACGCCGACATTTACAGGTGACGTCATTTTACCCACGTTAACATATATTACGTAAATGATGCTCTCTCGTTTTGTCACGGCGGATTGGGACATGCACTACAACGTTATATGCACTACCCGCATATCATACAATCTATATTTTCTACCCTGTTACAGCACCGCCGGAGCAAACCACTCCTACAACTAAGCGCGCTCGTGTCCATGAGACCGCGACTATGCAAGCCGTAGTGCTAGTCTCCGCAACCATCAGAGACTGCCACGGAGACGCAATGAATCGGATTGAGGGACTCGTGCGCGAATGGATGCAGCAGGATTTGCGCCTTGCCCGCGAGCACTTGTCGGATTCAACACCTCCTCACGTGCAGCGTGGAACGGTCAACGACAGCCCACCTCCGCCTCGCGCTGCATCTGCACCTCCTCCCGATCGCCGCGCGCCAGACCCTGACGGTGAAGATGCGGGCCCGTTCCGCGACGATGGTGGCGACGTCAACACCGTCACTCCTGGTGATAACGATGTGGAGATATGGGTGCGCAACGCCGACGATTGACGTAAGACTCCTGTAGCGCCTCACCTAACCTTTTCCGCCGTTCCCTCAGTGTCGGCTTCGTGCAGGGAATGCATGGTTCCCACTTATGTCCAGAAATGGCTCCCCTAGTCCACCATGGATCCTGGTTGCGTGGCAGATTGAACCATGCCATATTTGTACGCCTTACACCCGCCATGTTCTCGCACATGTTGTGCAGGATGACGCAACAGGCGGAGCCAGCGAGCACTTGCCATAACCTGCAATCGTTGCGCCCGGCGAATAGGCGCCATCGACCTTTGAAGGCTCCGATGCACCGTTCTACAGCCATTCGGGTAGTGCTCTGGTAGTAGTTGAAACACTGGGCCCAGTCTTCCATTAGATCTTCTCCGCACGGGGCATGCAAGGGGGTTAGGACGGGGCTATGTCCCCTCGTTGTAACCGTTCCAGTAGAGCATTGTTTTTTAACACACGCTGGTCGTGAGCACTGCCGGGATACCCAATGAGATAGTCCCAGATTCTGCCCCGAGCATCACACGTGATCTGCAACTGCACTGCATATGCAGACTTTCTTGTCCAATATTCTGTCCGATGCCCCTCCATCCCCTTCATGTTCATGTGAGTCCCGTCTATAGCTCCCACAACTGCAGGTACCCCTTTTATGGCTTCAAACTCTTGTGCCATCTCCGGGAGTTCATCACGGGTCGGGAAGCGCACCCAGGCGGCCTTGAATACGGCAGAGAACTCGGTGAGGAAGATGTCGACAAGCTCATGGCAGAGGGTTTTGGAGACACCAAACAGGTATGACATGTCGACGTAGGAGATTCCACTCGCCAAATATTTGATCGCAACGAGTAGTGCGGTGTCCATCGTTATTCTTGTCCGCTCGACAACCGGTTCTAGGCAGTGGCGCATGCTTGTCTTTATGTGATCAAGGATGGCTCTGTTGATTCGGAAGATATCCTGAAAGTCGTTCTCCCGCATATGTTGCAGGTCTTCTACCCACAGGGCAAAGCGTCGCCGCCGTACTCTGGCACGGTGACGGCGGTTATCCCCGGTGTCATCCCGAAGTGATGAGGCCGACTCGTCGTGGTCTTCGATGACTCTAGCCTCAATCATGCCGACAAACGACTTTGCCACAGTTTCGTAAAAAATGGTGTAGTAGTAGGTGACCCAGGCGACGAGAAGTCGTAGGAGAAAGGCTATGGCCCTTGGCTCTGCCATATTGCTAGGAATGATCGTGTGTCAACTACTACCGGTATGGTGTCTGTGGTGGTTTATGAGTATGCTAGTAGATGTTGTGTTTCCCAACATGTTCTTTTCGATTGGCAATTATTGGGGGGGGGGGGGGGGGGGGACTTTCCACCTGTCCACGACTTCCGCTTTCCCTTGTGGATTTTGAGGGGCTTGCTGTGTTGGTGCGCTTGATCGTCATAATGAGTGGTCCACTCACGCGAAGGGCCAATCAAAGCCCTTCTCGTATAATTGGCGCGTGCTACTGCAGGGTCGCAGTACATCGATCATTTGTGACATCAGGTTCAGAGACATTTGAGCGCGACTCGGCCAAAATGTGTTTGCGACACTTTCTTAAGGGACATGTCCTGAGCGGAATGTACCCTCACTGGAGCATATGTGGACTGGAATATTGAGGTGAGGAGGAGGAATTTGGAAATTTTATGACTCACAACAACCGGCTCGGTAAAAAAACGTACATCAGTTGCACAACATAGATTCTTTCACGCTGCGCACGAAAACAAGTACCTGCTTGTGAAAACTTGTAGATGTTGTTGGCAGCACTTGTATTTCCAAATGTGTTCTGTGGCTCTCAGCTCTACAAAGGGTACAGAAGCAATGCTGCGGTGGCACAACACGTAGCCTGTTATGGTTGGCCCACGTTTCCAGCCTGACCGCGTCCTACAACATCAACTGGACATGTCGAGCTTTACCCATCCTCTAGATAAACGCACTCATTACTATTTGTGCTTCATTCATGTCCAACTACGCTTGCACTGCTTCTGAGAAGCATTTTGTCACGAGCAATTATATTCATTGCGAGACTATCAGTCAGGTCACCTAGTGCCACCCAGAAGGAACAGCCACCCCTGATTGCTTACTTTTCGAGTGCCGAGCCGACTAGTGGTGAACTGTGAGCAAGAGTGGATCATCGTGAGACAGTCCCCAGCAATGGCGGTCGCCTCGGTTTCCCTTAGCTCCACGTCATGCACACATCACATTGTTTCCTCCCCTGGTGGTCCTCAGAGCGCGTTGTCGCTTCTATCCCTGCCGTCACTCGCGCCGCGTGTCTCCTGCGTGACACGACGAGCAGCGCCGCCGTCCTTGCCGCGATTCACGGCGACCGGAGCGCGTGAATGTGCACCACGACGAGCAATGCCTTCAAGGCGTGCGCTCGCGGCGCGAGCTTCGTCGGACGATAGCGGCTCCGCCGAGTCTTCGCAGTCCGAAGCTTCGCCGAAGCCCCCGCAAGCAGCGCAACCCGCCACGCCTCCTCCGCAACAAGGTGCGAACTTAGAACGAAGCAGGCTCGGTTCGGCTCGGTTCTTTTCGCGTCGTTTCATTTAGGTTCAATCTGGTTCGGCTCTGTTTGCTCGCGAACCTAAGCTGCCGATCATCCTTGAATTCACTCAAATAACAGAACCGCGGCGAACCCAGTGGAACCATGGATCTGTAACGAAGAAAAACGTCTTGAAATGTGCGAGTTTAGGACAGGGTTACAAGTCAAGGATATCATTCGTAATATTCGCCTTTCAATAATTCAGCCACTGAGGCTGCGTACGTGGCGGAGCAAACCTCATCGCGATGGGAAGGCTGAGATGCTTCACATGCTCTCCCATTCCCGCCTCCCCATCGACGAAAATCTCACAGATGGACCTTCTTATTACTCCCCGCCTTCCCCCCTCCCCCCATCCCCCCCACATTTCCTCTCGGCCCCCCTTCTCCTCCCCAACACCAGCCAGCTATTTTTCCCTTGCCTGCTTTCCTCCCTCTCCCTTGCCTTCCCTTTCCCCTTCCCTCCCTCCTATTGGTACTCCTTCCTGCAGGTTTCCCCCTTCCCTTTCTCCATCTCCTTCCCCTCGTGTCCCCATTCCTCCCTCCAATCCTAGGAGGCGCCTCGAAATGCACTAACATCCTTTTGAGAGGCACAAATCTGTATGCATCGATCGAATGTATGCATCGATCGAATGTATGCATGGCGTTCCTACCTACGCAACCATTCTTTCGATTCTCAACATTCCGTCTTCCTCTGTCCTTGCTCCTGAGCAGGCTTGGTGTAAGGACCAGGTCAGGTGACTGCAGGTGCACACGCAGAGCAAAGCGGAACTCCCTTTTCTTCTCGATCCTCCGTTCACTAATCAGACCATCCCTGTCTTTCCCAATATTTCATCTGTGCTTGCTCCTGAGCAGGCTTGGTGAAGGGCCAGGTGACTGCTATCATCACAGGAGCCATTTCTCTTATCCTCTGCAACCATTCCTGATTTGTTGTCTTTATTATGCTCTCCTCGGTGCTTTTCTCCCTGAGCAGGCTTGGTGAAGGGCCAGGTAACCGCCATCATCACAGGAGCCATCTCCCTCATCCTCGCTATAGGCTACCTCGCTTTAGTGCAGCTGCTCGACTCCAGAGGGCTGCAGATGCTGCCTCCCCCACCTGAAGCCTTCGGCCCCTGAAACATACTGTACAAAAGTCTCCATTAGAAAGTTGCGGAACATTGGTCGAATCATGTTACCGTACGGTATTATTCATAAAATATATGCGCTGGGAATGGCAATGACTCACTCCGACTTCTGTACACTGAAAGTCGTGTACTACTACTAACAGAGGTCGGTGGTCGAGTGATGAGCTAAGAATCTTGTACCTAAAACAGAGCTACCCTAGTGGCTGTACCCTAGAGGTACGAAGTCCTGCAACCTCACTCATACCGTATTCTCCCGGATATAGGACCCTCCCGAAAAAAAGACCCCCGGGACTTTTGAACGGTACTGGGACTCTTAATATGTAGCATATGTGAGAGGACCCCCCCTAAGCCTATAATCAGTATAAGACCCCCCCCCTTCCCCTAGGGGAGGGGATTCTGTTAAAGAAACCATTGCCCAACAGTTTAGAATTAATACTGCACTTGGATCCACATTAGACATGATGTGAAGGCATGGAACGAGTCAATACTACGGTACATCAAGCAACACAGTCATACACATCTACGGTCCGGCTTAGCTAACCTTTCTCTTGCACACCCCTATTCCCTACTCCACATCGTCCTCCTCCACGTCTCCCCACTCTGCCTCCCCCTCGATCTCCTCCTCCTCCTCCTCCGCCTCCATCTCGGCCTCCTCCTCCTCCTCCTCCTCCTCCTCCTCCTCCTCCTCCTCCTCCTCCTCCTCCTCCTCCTCCTCCTCCTCCTCCTCCTCCTCCTCCTCCTCCTCCTCCTCCTCCTCCGCCTCCTCCTCCTCCGCGGGCATGTCCCCACAGTCCTCGTCGTCCGCCTCCCGGGCAGCTTCCTCGTCGTCAGCAGTCGTGGTGTAGAGGGGGTTGACCCACTCATCCACCAAGGGGGAGGAGTGGACGTCCTCTCCCACCTCGACCTGGCCAGCATCCCGCATGTGCGCCAGGACGAGGTGATCCTGGCTGCCGTCAACGGCGTTGCTGATGCCGGTGGTCAGGAACGCCTTGACGATGATGTGCTCCGGCACGTCGCTCCATGACTGGGCGATCCACTTCAGCACCGTCTCAGCGGGGGGCCTCTTCAGGTTCCCTGTAAGGTCGACCAACGCACACAGATTCGAGTGAGTGTGTTTATTGTGTCAACATGTGCTCTCACTTTTGTTACAGTTTAGAACCCTTAAGGTACACGCACCTGCGGGGGTGAAGCTGTTCACCCCTTCATCGGCGAACCAGTCGTTGTAGAACGTGCACAGTCCCGCCTTAAAGGAGCGGTTGATGCTCACGTCAAGGGGCTGCAGTAGGGGCGTGCACCCCCCCGGGATGATGGCGGGGATCACACGGTGCCACCTGAGCTTCGCAAGAACGCCGTCCGTGATGTGTCCACGGTAGGAGTCCAACACCAGGAGGGTCTTGGACCGACGGATGCCACGAGGCGACTTGATGAAGGGGAGAAGGACGTTGTTAACCCAGTCGTCGACGAGTTTGCCGTCCATCCACCCCTTCTCATGAGCGCGGATGATGACACCTGCATACGAGAAACACGCAAGTGCACGGGGAGATTGTTAAACGTACTGAGGTATCACCCACCGCGGCTTCAGGGCCAATACGAAAATTACCTGGCGGCACGCGGATCTTAGGGATGGTCTTGCGCTTGAAAATGACCATCGCTGGGAGCTTGCGTCCGTCCGCCGTGACGCCCAGCATCACGGTCACCCGTTGCTTCTCGTACCCCGCGCTGCGAACGTGCACAGACTTCTCACCGCGGTGGTGAAGAGTCCGGTCGCACGGCATCTCCAAGAACACAGGGGTCTGGTCCGCGTTTATGACGTTCCACGTGTCGATGCTCCACTTGATGACGTTCTGCCGTACGAACTCCCAGAAAGACTCGCATTTGGGCTTGCAATCTGTAAACGAAAAAAAAACCGGTAAACGAAGTGACTCACCCAGGTAAACAGCGGGAGGCGGCTTATACACTAACACGGAGGGTCAATGAGTCGCGAAGCAAATTATACATACCCTTCGCGAGGCGCTGCCCGATCCTCGTCTTCACACGGATGGCGAGGCCCCACCGTGCACGGAAGCGAAACGTCCAGCGCGCGGAGGCCATCCAAGCGACGTCCGGGTGGTGGTGCTTCATGAACGTCCTGCTCCACTGCCTGATGAGCTTGATCGGGACCGCTAACCCCCTGCCGCGGAAGTTCAGGAGCTTCTTGTACACGGCCTGCTCCATGTCGGGGTATTTCGCCCGCCGACCGCCACCCTTTAGCCGACGCCTGCACGGTGCAGCCTTTTCGATCTCCTGCGCGATCCTCAGCCAACGGCGGACGCTGATTGGCTGAACCCCTGCAAGACGGGCCGTGTGACGAATTGACAGATTCTCGTCTTTCATCCGCAGAAGCCACTGCCACTTCTCACCCATGGTGCGCGCCGTGCGACGGTGCGTACTCTTGCGAGAACGCGGACTTGCAGGCGTGGCGTCCTTCGTTGCCTCGGGACCACCTTCATCGTGGACGAGGTCTTCGGGAAAGGTGGGGATGGGGAAGTCGCCAACACCGTAGGCCGCCTCGTCGGTCTCATCGCGGTTTTCGCTGACGTCTTCTGGCGCAGGAAAGCCCTCCTCGTCCGGGGGCTCGAAGAGAGGCCGGTCCTGGTGGGAAACGAAACCCGGGGGAAACACGGGTGGCGCAGGCGGCGCCGGTGGAGCAGGCGGGGCAGGAGGTGCGGGAGGCGCAGGTGGTGCTGGCGGATGCGGGCTAGTAATCACAACGATGGCCGGCCGCGATGAAGTCATCGAGGCACGGCGCGTACGCTAAGGACTTTCGAAAGCCGACATGGTGGAACTCTATTGCTAAACTACCGTATCATACTTGGGGCGCATGACGACCTACTAGCGCCATGAGCCGTTCTTTGTAGTGCGGCTGAGCTAACGAAGTGAATCAGAAGCAATAGACACAGCGCTGGGGTACGATGTGACAAGCCCGGCTGCCTGCTGGAGTTGTGAGGGATCCGTTCTGCACCACGTCCAGAGCCTGTCCCTCGCTCTGTCGCTAAAGGAACAGACGTGATGCAAAGAAGGGGGGGGGGGGGTTCTGGATGTGGGCACCTGAGGGAACCGCACACTCAAGATGCAGTGCGGTTCGCCTCGAATGGTGTGATTTCCGCCGTCGTGCCTAGTTGGACGACGCGCGTCACACGCGATATGAGGTTCGGAGTGCTGGAAGCGGTGGATTTGGACGTGCAAAATAAAAGTCCCCCCCCCCCAAAAAAAACGAATGGTACACCCTAAATCGCATAACTGTACTTGATTAATAAGTGTACCCGGGTCTTATACAACTCGTTCCGATTAAATGTTCACCCTAACCAATTTGCCTCTATTTTAGGAAAGTCCCCCGGGTCTTATATCCGGGAGAATACGGTAGTAGCTTTTTGATAATTCAAACCATGACTGCCCCACCACCACAGACAGCTGGCATTGCTATGCCATTGCCTGGCCCTCCAGTCAGTTACACTGCTGCAGATGCATTTCAGATGGGCAAAGCGTGTCAAATTTAATAGTCTAAGTGATGGGTGTCATATGGGGTACAACAGTTAGGGTTAGGTTTATGTACCCCAACCAACCTTAGAGACATCATAATTCAGTTCTTGACATGGTATCACCTAGGTTCGGATCCTGTGGGATCTTGTTCCTCCCACTCACGTCTGTAATGCTCGAGCCTGTCCCTTACCCTAGTGTTAGTCACGCTCGTACTGTTCCTTAGCGCCCGCTGCGCCTGCTAGTCGCATCACGCCTGCTTTCGCCTGCTGGTCGCGTCCCCCCCCCCCCCCCCCCCCCCCCCCCCCCCCCCCACCCCCCCCTGCCCGTCCCGTCCGTCGCGTTGCACCTGTCCGCCGCGTCGCCCCCGTCCCGTCTGTTCCGTCCGTCGCGTCGCCCCTGTCCGTCGCGTCGCGTCTATCCCGTCCGTCGCATCGCGTCTGTCAAGTCCCGACTAGCCCGTCGCGCCTGTCCCGTCTAGCCCGTCGCGCCCGTCCCGTCTGCCCCGTCGCATGCGCCCTGCCTGCGCGTCCCGCAGCGCCACGTTGCCCCCGTCCCATCCTGCCTGCCACGCAGCGCCGAGCCGCGCGCGTCCTGTTCTGCCTGCCGCGCGGCGCCGCGCCGCGCGCATCTCGTCCTGCCTGCCGCACGCGTCCCGTCCTGCCCTACGCCCGTCTTGTCCCTTAGCTCCGCGCTGCCCATCCTGCCATGTCGCGCCCTACCCTGCCGTTCTGCCGTGCCCTGAGCCTCACGCACTGCCAGTCACGCCCTACGCAGGCCCTTTAGGCGTTTAGGGTTTCGGCAACAGCAGTTCCCACCTCTTTGCTTCCGCTATGGCGACCCCTAGGGTCCTGCGCTTTGACGCCGAGGGTAGGCCGCTCGAGTTCTCGGTCTGGCTCCTGCGTGCGCGCCGCCTTTTAGAGAGTCAAGTTCAGGCAGATGAGTCTCTGTGGGCGCACGCTTCCGGCGACCTTCCTAAGCCCGACGACCCGGCGCCCTTAGGCGCTGACCCAAGCAGTGCAGACAGAGACCGTTATGCCCGCCAGCGTGCTGACCTGACAGCGTGGAAGTCACGTCACGCTGCGGCCTGCATCGCCCTCAATAGCCTCCTCCCTGAGTCTGAGGAGGCCCACTTCACTCAGGTTCGCTCGGCTAGTGAGTTCCTGACTGCGATCAAGGCCCGCTACGCTACTCCCACCACTGTCTCTCTTGGTCGCCTGTTCCTCCTGTTCCTGTTTCTTGACCTCGCCTCGTTTGAGCGCTCTGCTGACTTGATCGCTCACCTGCGCTCGCTCGATTCTAGCTACCGCGCTGCCTGCACTGACGCACAGCTTGCTCTGCTCCCTCCCCCTATGGCGATTACTATATATTTCATCGTCACTAGCCTCCCTGTCCGCCTTGCCTCTGTTTGTGACGTGCTTCTTCTAAAGCACCCTAGTGAGCTCACTATCGAGGTCCTTGAGTCTGCCCTCAAGGACGTCGAGAGCAACCTCCAATCGGTAGCCTCCGCCTCTGGTGCTGTGCCCCCTCCAATGTTTCACGGGTGCAGTGTCCCTCAGCTGCCCACCTTTACTGCCTCCCTCGCCACTGCCGCTACTGACGTGACCGCAACTGCTGTTACGACTTCTTCGCAGCCTAGGTGTAGGAGTGGTAGGAGGGGCGGTCAGGTTGCGGGCGGAGGCGGCGGAGGCGGCGGAGGTGGCGTGGCGAGCGGTGGTTGCGGGAGTACAGAGGTTGGAGGAGCCACTCGTGCAGCGGCTAGTGACTCCCCTGCTGCAGCTGGTGGAGGTGACGCTCGGGTTTGTCAGGCACATGCTGGTTCACGAGCTGCAGGTGCTGGAGTGGCGGCTTGGTACCTTACTCAACAGCAGCAGCCACTCCTCTTGCAGCAGCCACAGCAGCAGCAGCGGCAGCAGCAGACTCCGGGGCAGGGGTTAGGACCGCGTCAGCCGTCGCGTGGTGCCGCACACCCTCCCTACACCTATCTCATTCAGACAGGTGCTCGCCGAGGCCTCCCCTGTGGCCGCACCCACCTAGCGGGTTAGTGCTTTGCTCAGCTCACTGAGACACTTCATGCGGCCTACGGCGTTTGCGGCCTTGCCCCTGACTGGCTTCCCCTTGTTCAGATGTACGGCCAAGCTCTGTGGGGCATGTCGGCTTCTCAGTTCCTTGCTGTTGTTGACTCTAGTGCTTCTGACTCTGTTCGCTCGAGTGTTGTTAGCTTAGGTGCTAGTGTTGCTAAGGTGCCTGTTGCTAGCGTAGGTACTTGTGTAGACACTAGTCTAGGACCTGCTCCGGAGGACACATCGCTGTCTTTCACTCTGGACTCCGGAGCTTCACACTGTTTCTTCCGCGACCACACAAAGCTTACTCCGCTTCTTGCGCCGGTCTCTGTAGCACTGGCTGATCCCACTTCGGGACCGGTCACTGCTCGCTACACTACTACGCTTCCGTACCCAGCAGTTCCCTCAGGTTTCCTGGCGGGCTTCCACTTCCCCTCGTTCTCCAGGAACTTGGTTGGTGTGAGGCCGCTCGTGAGTAGTCACGTGGGTGTTTGGATTGAGCCTTCTAGGGACAGTGCGGCCTGTGTAGACGGTGACACGTACGCGCCTCTGGCCACCTTTACCGCTGAGTCGGGATCTGGTCTCTACACCCTTCACACTGGCCCCCGAGGGCGGCAGCAGCAGCAGCAGCAGCAACAGCAGCAGTAGCAACAGCGGCAGCGGCAGCACCAGCTGCTGCCCTCGACCGTAGCAGCAGCAGCAGTTGCTGCCCTCGACCCCTGTCACTGCCCCCCGTCAGGTTCTCGCGTCTCACCAGGTTGCCGTGTCTCACCAGGTAGCTGTGTCTAGTCAGGTTCCCGTGTCTGGTCCAGTTGTTGCGTCTTGCTCCTGCCGATCGCTTGCTCACCCCACCGTTCTGTGGCACCACCGCATGGGGCACCCGTCCATTCCTCGCCTGCGCACTATGTCTAGTCAGCGTCTCGTCTTAGGCCTCCCGCGTGTCTTGCCGTCGCTGCCGCCTTCACTTGCACCACCTTGCGGTCCCTGTGTCGAGGGTCGGCTGCGTGCCACCCCTCACTCCTCCTCCCTTTGTCCGGCCACCGAGCCCTTCGAGACTCTCCACTTGGACGTCTGGGGCCCCGCCCCTCGCCCTGGCTCTGAGCGAGAGAGTTTCTTTCCGGTGGTCGTTGACGACTACTCTCGCAACACCACAGTGTTCCCCATGGCGAAGAAGTCTGAGGTGACTTCTACGCTGATCCGGTGGTTACTTACCATTGCAGACACTCGTGGTCGTCGTGTCAGCTGTCTTCACTCTAACCGTAGGGGTGAGTTTTGCTCCGGCATTCTCGGTGGATTCTGTCGCGAGAAGGGCATCCGTCAGTCCTGGACGCTTCCAGAGTCCCCACAGCAGAATGGGGTTGCTGTGCGTCGCATAGGCTTGGTCATGGAGATTGCACGCACCTCCATGATCCATGCCCGTGCGCCCCATTTTCAGTGGCCCTACGCGGTTCGGTACGCTGCTCACCAGCTGAACCTCTGGCCACATGTCTCTCGGACAGAGGCTTCACCGACTAGTCTTTGGACTGGGTCCCCTGGTGCTGCGTCGCGTTTTAGTGTCTGGGGCTGCTTGGCGCTTGTTCGCGCACCTCCGCGGACAAGCTCTCCCCTCGCTCCCTTCCCTGTGTCTTCCTTGGTTTCCCCGAGGACTCCTCTGACTTCAGCTTTTACCACCCCCACCCTTCACCAGTTCTTTGACTCCCGCGACCTTCGTTTTGTCGAGTCAGTCCCCTACTACACCCGGTACCCCTGTCGAGGTCTCCCGGTTCCTCCTCCCCCTCTCTTCCTGACTCCCGCTCCCCCTCCTGCCCCTCCGGTACAGCCCCCCCCCCCTGGTCCAGCCCCGTCAGGTGTGTCACACGCTACCCCCCCCCTCCCCTCGGTAGCCCCTCAGGTGCCGCCCCCTTCCCCACAGTCCTCCTCACAGCCTACTGCAGACCCTGCATGAGCAGGTGCTCCTGTCGAGGACCCTGGGGGTGCTACCTCTGGAGGTGTTGGAGTTGGAGCTGAGACTGTGCCTGCACGAGGCCCTGGTGCTGGGGGTGCTGGAGTTGGAGCTGAGCCTGCGTCTACAGGAGGTTCTAGTCTTCGGGGAGCTGGCGTTGGTCGAGCTGTCCCTAGGGGTGCTCGGACTGGGGGTGCGGGTGCGCCCTCAACGGGACCTGGAGAGTCTGGGACTGGCCGCGTTGCTGCTGGTGG